GCTCTCTGTTCCTCCTGGTCAAAGGATGCACCTGTACAGCCAGCTTCCCCCCATCTTCAGGCTGAGTCATGAGATTCTGGATGTAAGGCTGCATCTTCAGGCTGTCTGCACTTTTCTCCCTTCTTAGCTCCTTGTTTATTCCAGGTTGTCCACCTTTAGATATTTCAATGCACAGGTCTCTCAGGCATGCCTTTGTATTGAGTAAGGAATTCTTTGTTGAATTATAGTTGGTTAACTTGTTGAAATTTCAGGGGAAGAGGTCAAGGTGATCTCTCACACTGCCATTCATCTGATGTCACTGAGAGATGTGTCTAAAGGTGACTATGGCAAACATTAGAAAGGGCAAGATGTTTTGAATGATTTCTGAGTAAACAGTGTGCAAATTTCTGTTTCATTTATCTTCACTAAACCAAGACCTCAAGTGTAAATAATTCTTAAAATTATAGAGAAATAACACAGTTTTTATTCTTATTCTGAAAAATTGTTTTACTCTGAAAATACTATTTTTACAAAACTTGCATAACAAATGATTTCAGAAATATCATGTTAAAGAAAATTATTACTGATACATTTCTTTCTTCCCTCCAATTAAATTTCAATGTTTTCTTTTAAAAGTATATTTTTATTGATTAAAGTATTACCTATGTGTCCTTATCCCCCCTTTGCCCACCCCCCGTCCATGCCCTCACCCCTTGGTGTTTGTGTTCATTGGTTATGCTTATATGTATGCATACAAGTCCTTTGGTTGATCTCTCCCCCTACCCCCACCCTCCACTACCTTCCCTCTGAGGTTTGAGCATCTAATCAGTGCTTCTCAGTCTCTGCTTATTTTTATTGATTTCAGAAAGGAATGGAGAGGGAGAGGGAGATAAAAAGTCAATGATGAGAGAGAATCATTGATCAGCTGCCTCCTGCACTGGGGATTAATCCCGCAACCCGGGTATATGCCCTGCCTAGGAATCAAACTAGGATCTTCTGGTTCATAGTTCAATGCTCAACCATTGAGCAATGCCAGCCAGGCAAATTTCAATGTTTTCTGTTGCTCTCTGATCCCCCAAAAGAAGGGAACATGATGTTTACATAAATTACTGGTTTCAATTTGGAATGCAATGTATAAAATTTCTAATCCCCTTCTTTCATAAAGACAACAAAAATGAATCATAATCCCAAATTAGGGTCTCAGGTTGGTTTCATCCTTGGATGTGTTCCTTATCATTTTTACTTCAGTTTTATCATTTGTCAAGTTAGGGAAATTATATGCTAGCAACCTGACAAGGATGTTCTGAGAATCAAATGGAATAATGGGCCTGGAACCATTATTCAGAGTTTCACGTTACACAGTTATATCAGTAATATATTTGTCCCATTCTTGCATAGTTTGAGAGAAACTACTCATTAGTCTCTTGGGTTTTCATCATGGACATTCTAATTTCGTTTAGGAGAAATCAAATTTTCCCACATGCACAGGGTTTAATCAAGAATTCCTTGGCTGATTGTGTTAAAATTTATGAGTTTGGCTTTCATTTTAAGTAATTGGGGAAAATAAGTATCTCAAGAAGATATTTGCACTCCCATGTTTATTGTAGCATTATTCACAGTCAAAAAATGCCAGTTATAAACATAGTTCCCGGTATGTAAAAAGTACAGCATAGGGTATATAGTCAACAATCTTATCTAATAAAAGAGAAACATGCAAATTGACCATGCCTCTGCTACACCCACAAGCCATGCCCACAAGCCACACCCACCAGCCAATCATGAGCGAGTATGCAAATAAACCCAACCAAGATGGTGATGGCCATGGAGTTGGAGCAAACTGGAGGCTTGGGTTGCCACTGGCGATGGAGGAAGCCAAGCTTCCCGTCTGCCCTGGCCGGCTGTGGCCTCCACTCAAGGCTACAAAGTTTCAATTATAGAAGATAAATAAATCCCAGATACTTGCTTCCCGTCTGCCCTGGCCGGCTATGGGCTCCACTCAAGGCTACAAAGTTTCAATTATAGAAGATAAATAAATCCCAGATACTTGCTTCCCGTCTGCCCTGGCCGGCTATGGGCTCCACTCAAGGCTACAAAGTTTCAATTATAGAAGATAAATAAATCCCAGATACTTGCTTCCCGTCTGCCCTGGCCGGCTATGGGCTCCACTCAAGGCTACAAAGTTTCAATTATAGAAGATAAATAAATCCCAGATACTTGCTTCCCGTCTGCCCTGGCCGGCTATGGGCTCCACTCAAGGCTACAAAGTTTCAATTATAGAAGATAAATAAATCCCAGATACTTGCTTCCCGTCTGCCCTGGCCGGCTATGGGCTCCACTCAAGGCTACAAAGTTTCAATTATAGAAGATAAATAAATCCCAGATACTTGCTTCCCGTCTGCCCTGGCCGGCTATGGGCTCCACTCAAGGCTACAAAGTTTCAATTATAGAAGATAAATAAATCCCAGATAC